TCCTCTGTGTCTTTTTATGGCTTAGTAACTCATTTCTTTTCAGTGCTGAATAATATTCCAGTGCTTGAATATACCTTATTTTTTAGTTCATTCATGCAGCTACCAAAGGACATTTTGTTTGCTTCCAAGTTTTGGCAACTATGAGTGAAAATGTATAAAGGACAACACTTACCTTTATATATTTTATATAACATTTTTAGTGTTAAAATTTCACCCCGATATACCTAGAGAGTCTGGCCTGGCCTCTTCAAATAGTTTGCCTACTACTCAGTGCGCCTTTGATCTAAAGACTTAATTCTTCAGATCAGGAAGTTTTCTGTGTTTCTTTAATGATTGTTTCTCCCTGGGCTCTGTTCTCTACTTCTGGAATGCTTGTTACACAAGTACATTTGTTTTCCTAGGTATTTCCCCTCTCTTTCTCAATCTCTTTATTATTTGTTCAGAGCTGTGGGGAGGATTCTGAAAGCAGTCTTTCCCAACTCAGTTTTTAATCTAAAGTAAATTTCCTGTTTTTCATATTTCCCCCAATTCATGTATAAATACAAATTCATCTATGAATATTATTTAGATTATAAAATTGGGGATTTACTAGTTTTTTAGATTCTAGTAGCCCTGGTAATAAGGATATAATATCTTATATCTTTTTCATATGTCTAGAAAATGTTCTCTATTTGCTTACTTTACAGAGGTACCTAGATTTATGTTTGTTTGGGCTTGGAATTTGAAATGGATCTATAAAAGATTATGCAGGTAATTCTCAGGCATGTTGGCACCAGGCAATAGGGAAAGAGAAGACACCATCCCCGTTGTTAATGGTTTAGTGTTCCGGACGGGGAGATCCAGTTGGCCACGTGTAGGGAAGGGAGACCTATACGTCCATCAGTCTAGTTTTGTCTGCACTAGATCTTGTATAAATTCCTTAAGATATGGGCCAGAATTTGGAACAGAGAGAAGCAACGGTGTGGGTTCAAATTATGATCTATAAACAAAAATCAGGGTACTGTATCTTTTGACAGGTCAGAATATAACACTGATTTATTTACAATGTGACCACTAGGTGGTGCCACCAATTAGTAAAAACAATGGTTGTTAACACTGGACAATCTCGAACTGTTTGCGGCCAGTACAAGTTTGTGAGATTGTATGAAGCTTGTGTGCACTTGTGCTATGTGCATGACTGTGTGTGCACATATCTCAGGGTGCATGAGTTTGCCCACAGAGCAATGTCGGTTTACAAGTGCGTGCACACATGTAAGAACATGCACGGGTCTGTGCCCCCTGAGAAGTATGGGTGTGAAGCTACGTGATGTAAACTCCAAAAGGCTGGCCCATCGGCCACGTGGTCTGGAACTCTGGCCCTTACAGCTAGGAAGGTTGCTTGCGGAGTGTGCATTAGACCCCATCCTATGGGAGAAACAACGACAGCACCCAGGGCAGCTTTTCTGAGGAAGGGGATCCCTGGACGCAGCCATGGGTTCCTCTAAAGTCATCAGTCCTACAAGCCCTGCATCCAGTGAGGCCTCCAAGCAGGTCTCAGTCACTTCCGAAGTCTCAGGACCCCTCTAGAGTGCCCAAAGCATCTCATAAAATGTTCGCCTTGGGAATCTGTCTTCTGTCCAGGTGGGAAGTGACCCTGCACCTAAGAAAATAAATTGCTTGTGTGTGTGTGAGCTGTGGGGGCTCCCCCAATCCCTGCTCCCCAGAGTCATCCAGATCCACACGTCCCTCTGCTCTCATCTCTGTGGAAGGCCCCCCGCTGAAGATCTCAGACTCCCCTCCTGGTACCCTCTCCCTCCAGGAAGATGCTGTCCTGACTGCCTGCTGGATGGTGTGGCCCACAAAGCTGGGGGTCCTTAGAGAAGTCCCTTCCCTTCTCTGGCCTCAGTTTCCCCAACTGTCAGTGGGGGCGGGGTCTGGGTGGTTCTGGGAGGCCCTTTGTGCTCACTGAAGTCCTGCAAGGGATTGTTGTGGCGTGGGACCTGTCTTGGAGAAACTCAGAAGAAGGAGAAACTTCCTCCCCCTCCTTCTAGCCGGCTTCCCTCCTTAACAGGCCCCTAGGGAAGACGGTTGGGCTCCCAAGGCCCCAAGAGGGGTTAGGAGGAAGTTTTCACTCCAGCATCATTAAAAGTTCAAGTGGCTTCCCCTGGGCAGCCAAAAGTCCCAGGGTTCATTAGACCCGTCGTCCCCTGGGCCCAATTTGGTTGAAGGAATGTTTGGCATTTTCATCCAGAGAAAGTTTTCACTAGGGTTTGAGGCCTCCCTATGAGAGCTTATCTCCCGTGGAGGTCAGAGAGGAAAGGTCCCTGGAGGTCGCCTCTCGCTTTGACACTTTTCCAGAGGAGGAAGCAGGCTGGGCGAGGGAAGGGGCTTGCCCAACGCCACATGGAGCCAGCTTGCCAGCTGGGGAACCGTCTGCTGGGTGGCAGGGAGGTGAGCACACAGGAAAGAGCAGAGAGGAAAGGGCTGCTGGGGACCGGTGGTCTTGGGGATGCAGGCACAGAAGGACAGTTGTGGGGAGGCCCTGTGTGAGGAAGAGCTTAGAGAACAGCCCGGCAAGCCCACCGCAGGAGGGACTGCCCAGGGAGATAGAGGGTGCCCACCCTGAAGCGTGTGAGTCCGATGAATGAACAGAGGCGAGCTGGGACTAGTGGGGGGAGAGGAGCCTGCAACGGCTCAGGTCCTGCCCGCTCTGTAAACTCTCCACCAGCAGGAATAGCATGTCCAGGTTTCTGGGCAGGGAGGGTGAAAGGGTGAGCAAGGAATCTGCTATTTATGGCAAGTTGAGACTGTCGCTGGAAACCAGGAGGCTGGGACTGGGGCCTGGCCTCTCTGGGCTCAGCAGCCTCTTTCCCGCCCCCTGCAGTCATGGGCTAATGACCCTCTTGGTTCCCAGGCCCAGCAGCACCAAGGACCTAGAAACAGCTGTTCATCCTCTCTGGATGAGGATAGTCTGCCCGTGGTGCCTCACAGAGCTCCTGAAGTGTGGGACAGTTTGCTCGACATCACCCGCTATGGAGAGCAGGACCGACAAAGTGACACTGATCCGGTCAAGACAGGACAAAATGCATCAAACAAAGTGGAGCCGCTCATGTCAACCAAGACAGCTGCCAGTCAGCCAGGACACTGCGGTTCAAGAGGGAAGCCACCTACATCACGCTGGACCCAGCTGGCAAGGAGACACACCTAAGATGTCTGTGCATGCGGCCAGAGCAGCTGTGTCTGCAGAGTGGGACCACCCATAGGTAGGCTCCTAGGGAAACTCTCCACTTGCCTTCAGGGGAGCCCAGACACTTGTCAAAAGACCCAGAGGGGTGGAGTGCTCCACTCTCAAGGTAAAAGTAAGGCCGGCTCCAGACCACTGCTGGGACACTCGAGCTCCACTCACCAGAGCTCTGCTCATGCCACGCAAATCTCCCTCTGCATCAGCCGCTGGAGGCCCTGCTCTGCTGCACCTGCCTGGCCACCTGCCTGGCTCTGGAGGTTCTCCCTTGCAAGATGCTGATGGCCCCCTTGCCCACCGTGCTGTCTCCTGGACCCTCAGACTGGGACTCTGGGACTCGGGCTTGTTGTCCCCCAGCTCTCATGTGGTGTCATCACTGATTGCATCTGAGTGATCAGGATTGTCATCAGGTTGGGACAGATTTGGATTAAATTTGCATTAGGAAAGCCGAGTGGCCCTGCACAAATAAAGTCTGAGTGAATGGCACAGTCACCTGTGGGACTGGTGAGGTCATACAGGCGGCTCAGCGCCTGTGGTTCTCAAGGCCCGGTCAGACGATCCCAGCGGGGGACCGAGGGCTGGCTTGTAGGAAAGCCTGTACTGTGAACTCTCGACCCCTGACTCAGTCCCGAGCACTCTGTGGCCTGCGGGACAGGGAGCCACAGACTCCCAGACGACAACTTCTCCCAAGGCATCTAGTTCACACTCCGCTGCAATGGTGTCAATGGAAAACATGTGTCAGGAACTGGTTTCCTTGCTTTCTAAATCTGAACTCCTTGAATCCTCAGACAACCCCGTGAGGGAAGGCACTCTCACTGGCCGTTGTATAGATGAGGAAACAGGCACAGAGAGGTCAGGTGACCTCGTACACAGTCGCAGAGCTTGTGAGTCATGTGGTTCCAGAACCATGTTCTTTTTTTTTTTTTAAGATTTTATTTATTTTTAGAGAGAGGGAAAGGGAGGGAGAAAGAGAGAGAGAGAGAAACATCAATGTGTGGTTGCTTCTTGCACACCCTACTGGGGACCTGGCCTGCAACCCAGACATGTGCCCTGACTAGGAATTGAACCGGCGACCCTTTGGTTCGCAGGCCGGTGCTCAATCCATTGAGTCACACCAGTCAGGGCCAGAACCCACATTCTTTTCTTTTCTTTTTCTTTTTTTATTAAAAATGTGATTTTTAATAATATAAATACAAAACTTTATTTCTTTATATAATTGTAATGGAATTTAGATCCAACTGCTAGGGTTTATTAAAAAAATAAAACAATGATATAAAAACTGCAAGAAGGTCTGAATCCAAAGTTTTTCCTCTAATAGTACCAAATACCACAAGGTACAGATTATTTACACAAATGTGTACACATTTTAAATACAAATCCGATAGGATTGGACTTGGAAGAAAAGCAAAGAAAGAACAGGCAGGCCCTCGGCAGGACTGACTTCTGCCGGCGCTGGTCCTGCCTGCCAGGCCCCTCCCGAGACCCTGTGTCAGACAGGGAACTCCCATGGGTGCAGATGAGACACGGCACAGGAGAACCCAAGTTCTTAACCACTGTGTTTTACTGTCTCTAAAAGAGGGGGAGCTGAGGCCCAGGGAGGGGGCTTGGCCGGGCAGCGGGCGTGGAGGCCTAGGCCTCTCATCTCCAGCCTCAGGGCTGTCCCCTGCACAGCTCTCCGCCTGACAGTCTTCTGTCCCCACCCAGCCTCCCCCGGGCCTCCCTAGAGTTAACAGTCGCCTGGCCTCACCCTTGGCCTGCAGCTCCAGCCCAGAGAGGCTGTGTCCACATTTCCTGGCGGCTCTCCAGCCTGCAGGAGCTGAGACAACAAAGTGCAGTCACTGTGAGGGCTGAGCAGAGGCTGCTGAAGGGGAGGAAGCAGCAGGAGCCGCCGAGCAGAGGGGCCGATCCAGCTCTCAGATGCTAGGCCTCCTGGGGAGCACGACTCTCGTGGGCTTCATCGCAGGTGCCGCTGTGGCCGTGCTGCTACTGCTGCTGCTGCTGGCCACCTGCCTGCACGGCGGGCAGCAGGACCGTGACGTGGAGGGGAACCGTCCGGCTGTAAGGAGAAAACGAGTTCGGCGGGCCCGGGCCCGGCCTTGGTTCTTCCTGGGCCGGGGCCACCTGGGACACTTGCACCATCACCATCATCTTGGCCATGGGCCTCACATGCACCATGCGGGCCCCCATCACCACCACCTCCACCACCACCACAAGGCCCGCTTCCACGCCCACCGAGGCCACCGCTGATGCCCGTGGATGGCAGCTACCACCTGCCCTACCATCTCCAGGATGAGCGGACCCCCGTGTTCCCGTGCAGAAAGGCACCTCTCTGTGGTGAACCCAGGGGACTGCGCCTGGGTCTTGCTTGGGCTTCATTTGCATACGGTGTCCCAATGAACCACAGAGGCAGAGGACAGAGGAACACCTGAGGTGGCCTTGTGCACGCTGCAGGGTGAGGAGGTTGAGGGCAGGGGTGATCTTTTGGGAAGGACATCACCTTGTGACTGTAACTCCCAGCGGGCATCCAAAGTGCACTGCTGCACTCTGACGCATGAAAGACGCACCTCGCTCCCTCTGAAGGGCTCCTCCTCTGACACCCTCGGGCTTGGGTAGGGGGCTGGCTGGGGCGGGGCCTGGGAATGCCCTTTTGTGTGAAGAAGGCAGTATGAGGCTGCACAGTTAATTCACTGGTGCCTTAATACCAAAAACATAAAAATAAAATAAAAACCACCAAGAAGCTTTGTGAAGAGGCTCTTGATTGCAACTCAAGTGGGAGGGCGGGAGTGGCCAGGCTCCTGTCTGCATTGCCTGGGACCTCCTTCTCGGATGGGAAGTGGGTGCCTGGAGTGGCTTCTGCCTAGGGCTGAAGGCTGGCTGTGCAGAGCGGGAGACTGGTGGGGCGCCGCAGTGCCCTGTGGAGAGCAGGTGAGGGGGTCACAGGGCCTGAGTTCTGAGGGCCTGTGTGCAGCCCTGTGCAGAGGGGGCTCTCGGTGTACCAGTGGGGCTCTGTGGGATAGCCCGGGACTCAGAGAGAGGTGGGGTGAGGCCACCCACCCTGGTCCCCAGGTCTCTCCCTCCCCTCTCTTTCCAGCCCATATCCAGGGCAGGCTGAGCTCTGGAACCTGCAGAAGCCCCACACTTGGTGGAGTGGGCTGTGTTGAATGTGACGTTTCTTTAGTAACTGGGTCAGGGTTTCTTGTACAAACCTCGAGTCCCCAGCCAGCCTGCTCTCCTGGTGCTTGTGTGTGGCAATGGGGTTGGGAGGGGAGGACGGGGAACATGGTGCTGGGTGGCCTTGGAGAGTGCTTGCCTCCTCGGGGTCTCGGTTTCCTCTTCCCTGAAATGGAACAGGTAACAGAGACTCCTCCTTTGCCAAAGCCGGAGGCATGTTCCCAAATACCCCGGGAGTAGCTGGCGGAATTCCGCAGGGAGGATGGGACTCTTGTTCCGAGGCCTGCAGCCTGTGCCTGTGAGCTGGGGTGGGATGTGGAGGGAGGAGAGGCTCAGGGCCTGGTGAGGTGGTGGGGAGGGGCCTGAGAAACAGCCAGAAAGTCAAAGGTCTGCTGACTCACTGGAACAGAACGTCCTGTTTCTTGTCCGCTTCCTCATGGATTCTCTGTGAGTGCTTGGGGTGGGGGATAAGGGGGGAGAGAGGCAGATGTACACTGACAGCCACGCTAGATAGATTTCTGGGTTGGGAAAGTGGACCAAGTGTTGCTGATTTTATCTCGGAGCGTCCTTCACATCCGCCTCCCCTCCCCCACCCCGCTGTCCACCCTAAGCTTCTCCCCCAGCCTGGATCCCTGTCAGAGCCCCTCTGAGTCCGCCTAGCTCCAGCCCTGCCCCTTTGTGAGGCATCTCTCTGCTGCAGCCCGAGGAATCCGAGGAAACTCCTCGCTGCCCTTGGGATAAAGCCCCTGCCTCTTGGTTGGCCATATAAGGCCCCGGGCCTGGTTCTGGCCTACCCCCTTGCTCTTCGTTCCATCCACACTGCCCCAGAAAACAGCCCACACCTTCCCCTCTCTGTGCCTCTGTCCAAGAAGAAACCCTCCCACAGGTTTCCAGTGCATCATTGTCGTTGTTTCCTTTGGAGCCCTGACCACACTTCATTTCTTTCCCCAGAGATTTGTGGCAGGGCTCATGGGCCCTGTCCTCACAGAGCTGAGAACTCTCGGAGGGCCCCCTGCCCCCCAGCACAGAAGCAGCCCACACAACAGGTCCTCAGGAAGGGTTCTCTGAGTCTCACGCTCTCTGGAAAAATAAACATGATTGGAATAACCGCTTGTAGAAGTTTGGGGCCTGAGGGCGCCAGGGAGAGTGCAGGGCCCTGTGGGATTCGGTCCTCGGGCTCCCGGGCCGCTGAGGGAGCTTGTGCTCCATCTCCCTGGTGCTGGCGGTTCAGGGGAGGTCTGCAAGGCAGGAGGCATTTAACAGGCGGAGGTCGTGGCCCTCTGAATTGTGGGCCATGGTTGATGGCCATCTTGCTCTTCTCAACTCTCCTGATAATGCGGATAAATTTAAAGAGACCGTTGAGGATGGTTGGGGGTGAGGGTATGGAGCTGGGGGGAGGGGGAGGCCATCCAGGCTGGCCCCCGGGGCTCTACCTCATTTCAACCCAACTCCAGGGCAGACTAAGCTCTGGGACCTGCGGCAGGTATCTGACCTTTGCCCACCTTTGTCTGTGGTTATTTTATTTTATTTTATTTTTTGCCCTGGTCTTGAGATGCCACAGTGGGCATTCCACGTTGCAGTCTGCCCACGTGAGGTCCATGAGGACCCGTAAGAGCCTTCAAAGCAGACAGCACCTGTGTCCACTATTATAACCCAGGTCCCTCTCATTTCCCCTCACTGCCCTGTTCTAATGCTGAGTGCCTATTATGAAGATGGACCAGAAGGCCTATTTTACAGGTGAATCAAAGCAGGGTCCTCAAATCTCAGAAACAGAAAAACAAAACCCGATACAAAGCAGGAGGTAAGGGGGCTGAGCCTTTGCCCTTTGCTCTCCTTTAAAACTGTTGAACAATGCACACCCACCGCAGCTGGCTCCCAGCTCCACCCGCCCACAAAGCGCAGGCCCATGAGACGGCAAAGGAGCCAATCACTCAGGAGCTTGAAACCAGGGCTGCCTGCTACCCTCTGTCTCCTGAACTGACTAGTTCATCTCGGTACTTGGATCCGAAACCACAGACTGGCTCCTCACATTTCCTTCTCTCTGCCCTGGCTGCCCCAGTTAACACAAATGACTCTGGGTGTCCAGCTTGCTGCCTCGGCCCCTGCTTGCTCCATGCTCCTCCTCGGCCCCCTTGGAGGAGGAGCCCCGTGCCCAGGTCTGCTCAGTCCTCTCAGAAAAGGGAAGAGCGAGCGAGGATTTGACGGGGCATCATGCTCCCAACAGTCACTCTCCCATTCTGGGTGTAGGCAGTTTCCTAAAGCTGGTCCTAAGAAAGTTCACTGGGGCCTTGGAGAAAGTAAAAATGACCCAGGCTGTGGGACCTGGGGGTAGCCCTTTGCCCTCTCTGAGCACTGAACTGGGAGGGAAGGCCAGGAAGCTCTTGTTATCCCTGCAGAATAGCAATAGGCCCTGTAACCTCAGATTACCAGCATCTGAATCTGTGAAACGGAGACAATGTCACTCCACAGGGCTGCTGGATTGGTTATACGAGTAATGCCTGGCTGCATCCTAGCCCTGGAATTACTTACTGTTCCTCACTACTCCACCTCTCAGAGTTCGGGTGAAGTGGGCCGAGGACCCAGCCCCCGTTTTAGAAGCGGTGGCGGTCCCAGCAGGCGCCGGCAGACTCGGTGGCCTGGGCCTGGCTCGCCCCGTACCTCCCCAGGTCAAGTGGAGAACCTGGGGCAGGGGGCAGGGCTGGAACGGCATGGGTGTGCTTGTGGGGCCGGGGGCGGGGGGGGTGCGGTGTTGGGGGGGTGTGGGATAAGCACAGTCCTCGAGGGTGACAGGCAGCTGGGAAGGGCCCGCGCCCTCACAATGGGAGGAAGGAGTTCAGGAAGTTCTTCCGGCCACTCAGACATCTTGGAGCCTCGTCCCAGGCAGGCCCCAGGCTGCAGCACCCAGGGTTGGGCATGCCGCGAGCTGGCTTCTGGGGTGGCCACCAGGTCAGGAGGCCATGGTGCCACACACAGCCAGAGCTGTTGTTCCGGGAGAGCCCAGGGTAAGTGTCCTCAACGTCTGAGGGGGGGGACAGTGGATGTGAGCAGGCAGCGTGGAGGGCCAGGGGGTGGGGGTGGGGAGGGTAGGCCAGCACAGAAGAGGGCTTCCCGGGGAACACTGCAGCACAGAGGGACTCGAATGTCCTGGCCTTATCGGAACACTACTCTCCCCACCCCAGGCAGAAAAGGAGGCCAGATGAGACAGGCCCTCCCCCACAGCCCCTGCGCAAGGCTCCAAGGGCCCCCTGGCCTTACCCAGGGCTGGCACAGTCGGTCTCCCTTCCCACCTGTCCCTGCCCCCAGCACAGAGCCAGGGTCTCAGGAGGCAGCAGAGAGGCTGATTCAAGGACTGGCCCAAGGTCTTCCAGGGGAGGAGTCCAAGGTCATCCTAGATCCGCAGAAGGGCACGTGTTTTGTCTTTTGTCTGAGTGTACAAGCTCTCCTGAAATGTAGGCGTCACTCGCGGGCCGGGTTGGCAAGGCTCCCTGTGAGTGAAGTCTTCTGCCCCCTCCTTCCAGCTCCTCCGAGTTCAGGGAGTCTTGCACGCACATCTTTCAGGACGGCGCTTCTCCCACAGGCTGCCAGTGGAATTGACCACAGCTCCTGGAAGTCTGGCCAGACTTAGGAAACCGTGACAGAGGTCGGAGTAGTGCCACGTGGGGCAACTAACAGTCTTGAGGGGGCACGGCCCAGAACCCCAGATCAGTATCTTAAAAGACAGCAGGGAGAGCGGCCGGAGGAGCCAAGTAGCTGTCACCACCCAGAGCCCTGTTTTGGATGGGGAGCTGAGGCTCCGAGAAGCACCCCAGGTTGCTCAGCGTGTCAGCTTCCACTCGGGGCCATGGAAACAGCAGTGATTGGTATGGTGGCGGTGCTGTTTGTGGTCACTGTGGCCATCACCTGCGTCCTCTGCTGCTTCAGCTGTGACTCGAGGGCCCAGGATCCTCAGGGGGGCCCTGGCCACAGCTTCACAGTGGCCACGTTTCACCAGGAGGCTTCTCTCTTCACGGGGCCGGGTCGCCATGCTCAGCCAGTGTCAGGGGCCCGGGACTTCTGGACCTTCATGTGAGGCCTAACAGCCCCCAGGGTTTGCTCTGCTGGTGGGTCAGACTCACCCGGCCCCCAGCGAGCCTGCCCCGATGTCCCCCTCTTCCAAGTCTGGCATTGCTGCTCTTCCTTGCCTGTATCCAGCCAACTCCCTGTTACATTCCGTCCTGGGGTGCTGTGCCCTCCCACCTGGGAGATCCCCGGTGGTGGGACCAGGTGGGAGTCGGCCCTGGCCCCTGAGAGCTCAGCTGGACCCGCCCACGGGATGGGGCTTGGGAAAGGTCTGAGGAGTGAGTGACTGCACAGTGTTGGACTGCACAGCGGGCGAGCTCTTCTGATCTACAGGGGAAGTGGGACTTACTGTAAACAGGGTTTGGTTAACTCGGGTGAACCCCAGGATGCCCACGGAGCCGGCTCTATGGCTACCAGAGGAAGCAGCTCTCTCAAGCGGACACTTTCACAAACCACCTCTCATCTGCCCCCCGACAGAGCCTTTTTGCTCTTTGAATGTGCACGTGCCACAGACCCCGACCGTGAGGCCTGCCCCCGCCCGCTGCCTGAAATCAGCCCCGAAACTCCGAAACCAAAGAGCCACTTCCTGGGAACAAACGGTTTATTTTATCATTGAAAATGTATATCCTTTTATGGCTCTCCCAAGAGGCAGGGTTGGAAAACCACCAAAGGACACAGAAGAGAAAATCAGAGTCGCAGAAAGCAGGGGATATTTTGTTAACAGAAAAGCCAGCAAGAAGACTGTGAAACATGCTTTGAAGGAGACTTTATCACTCCATCCTTATTGGTCACTTTCATCCTCAGAGAATGTGAGCGACTTGAGTCACTCGGGATTGACAGGAAACCAGGAACTCAAAGACAAGTCCAAGTGCGTTCAAACGTCACGTCGCAGTGAGAGCGTGCCATGGCACTCTCGTTTCCATCACAGATAAAGAAAGGCTCAGATTTTTTCATGGAAGATCTGTTTTCTCTGTACCCACGAAATAAATGTTGTGCCGTATTTAAGAGTATAGTTTGAAGGGTACAACATTTTGAGTCTCCTGGCTAGTATGTCTGTTCAGCCCTGAACAAATGGTTCTTCCAGGACCCACCTGTTGAGGAGGGCAGGACTGGCCCTGAGTGGGGCTCTGGCCCCTGAGTGTGCCCAGGCAGGCCACCTTGGCCATGTGGTAAGGGGCCAGAGACAGTCAGGTTGATGGAGAGGAACAGAGTGGGTGAGCGTGGGGAGAGGAGAGGCACAGCCCAGGCTCCTGGGGACCACGCCTTGATCATGTGGGACCCATGCACGTGGAAGGGAGCTGGCTGCAGGGAGGACCTGGGGACCGAGTACAGGGAATTGTTGCAGGTTGGGTTCTCTGAAAGTGAACACTGAGACAAAGTTTGGGGTGCAAGATGTTTATAGGGATCAACGTCTGTGAGGGAAAGGAGGAGGGAGCAGGATTGAATAGGAGTCAAATTGTGATGCAGACCCTTCATATACCCTCACTTTTGCCAGTCTCTGAGTGATGCCCCACCTCCTGCCCCCCTGAGTTTGCCTACAGGCAAAGTAGCTCTGGGCTGAGGTGGGCCCTGAGACCCTTCCTTGCAGGGGCCGTGGGTGGTGCATCTCCACGGGAACTCAGCAGGGCCCTGTTCCTGGAGGCACTCGGACCAGTAAGAGGTGGGTGGACGAGTCCAGGCACAGAGAAATACCTGAGAATGAGAGCTGCAGGTGGGCAGAGATGGAGGTGCAAGGTCTGGGAGGGATGAAGAGTGGGCCTCGGGTGCTCTCTGCCCTTTAACAGAGTCAGCTCTGCTCCAGGGCAGGCATGCTTCAGCGGGACCCAATGCTGGGACCCCAGGCCCAGGGCCCTGCCCCTGTACCACATGGTCACAGCTGCAGGCTGGAACCACATGTGTCACTCTGAAAACAAAACATTGGCCGGGAGGGGCCCAGCCTCACTCTGCAGGTGATGGGCAGTCTGTCCAGCCCTGTCCCAGGAGAGCAGGGAGTTCAAGAAGGGAAGGCGGTCAAGCCCAGCACCCTGGAGCAGGCAGACAAAAAGAGGAGCAACTGGAGAAGGGAGAGAAAGGCGGGGAGCTGGTGGGGCAGAGAAGCAGGGACTAGGGTTGCCAGATTTAGCAAATAAAAATATAGGACATCCAGTCAATGTTGACCTCAGATAGGCAGCAAATAATTTTCAGTATAAATATGTCCCATGCAATATTTGGGGCATACTTATACTAAAACATTTGTTGTCTAGCTGAGATTCTAATTTAACTGGGTGTCCTATATTTCACCTGGCAAGCCCGCAAAGGAGAGAGTAGTTCTCAGAGAGGGTGGGTCAACCAGCTGAAAGCATCAATGGGGCCAGCAAAGCGCAGAGAAGAGAAATTGGATATTGCAACCCGACAGTTGACCGTGAGCTTGGTGAGAAGAGTTTGAGTGCAGTAAGGGAGCAATGCTACAGCGGTGTGCTGGTGTATACGGTGTGTGCGTGAGTGTGTGTGGGTGTGCGTGCAAGGGCGGTGGGAGCTGAGGAAGGAAAGGTCGCAGTTGGGAACCTAATGAACAAAACAAACAAATGAGCAAAATAGAACCAGAGACATGGAAATAAGGAACAAACTGACGGTGACCAGAGGGGCGGGGGGAGGGGGATAATGGGGGAAAGAAGAGGGAGAAACTAGTCAAGGGACATGTGTGAGTGACCCATGGACATGACAACAGGGTGGGGACTGACTGTGGGAGCGAGTGTGGGGGTGGGCGGGGCAGGGGAGAGCCATGGGGGGAAAATGGGGAGGACTGCAACAGAACAACAATAAAAAAAAGAAAGGAAGATCACAGTTGCAGGTAATTTGAAGGCAAGGAGAGTGATATATTGTGGCCAGAGAGGCATGGCACAGAGGGAGAGTTTGTTATTATTTTTAATATGGGAGGGAAGTTGAGCCCATGCAAGGCCAAAGGAGCGCTGGAGAGAGAGCCAGCAGGGGAGAGACGGTGGAAGATGTCCCTGGGGCAGCCTGGGAGCCCCGGGAACGGGCACAGGGGCCCGGCCCGGGTGTGGTGGGGGTGGGAGGGTGCTACCGGGAGGGGCGTTCGGGGTTGCGGGTCAGTGCTGCAGGTGTGCGTGTCCACGGGACAAGGGGGTGAGTGTGTCACGCCAGATGGCCTGTTTCCTCCGTGAAGTGGGAGCATGTGCTCAGAGGTGGGTGGGTGGGGCAGGGGTTAAGCAGAGGCTGGGTTAAGGATAACGGCCCAGAGAGGGGGCGAGCCGCGCCGACAGTCCTGCTTTTCTCAGGTGTGTGGAGTGTGCGGGTGCGAGGCTGAGTGTGGGGGATGGTGTGTGTGTGTGTGTGTGTGTGTGTGTGTGTGTGTGTGGTGTATGTGTGCTATGTATACATGTGTGGGTGTATGTATTGTACAGTGTGTGTACACATGTGTGGCATGTACGTGTGTGCTATGTGATGTGTGGGCACATACGTTGTGTGGTATGTGTGTGTTGTGTGTGTTGGCCCAAAGTGCTCCTGCCACTCCACCCAGTGCAGCCCTTTGTGTAAGGGGGAGGGGCTCCAGCAGAGTCCAGCCAGAGCCCCTTATCCCCAGGAAAGGGAGGTGGCAGTGCAAGGACAGACTTAGGTTGGCACCAGAGTGCCAGCAAAGCCAGGATTGTTTATCTGGTGGCAGCAAGGAAAGGGGTTGCTCCAGGTCACCCTGGAGATCTGGGGTGGAGTCACAGTGGCCCCAGGCCTCCCAGTTCCTAAATCCAGCCTTCTCTCTGTTCACTCTTCTACTTTCACTAGTTCCTGTTTCTTGGCCTCCTGCTGTGCACCAGGCCCTGTGTCTCTGCATCTCCCCTCGTAGGTGCTCACAGCAGCCCACCACCCCGCAGCCGCCCACTGTGAGGTGCTGTGGGCCAAGGCCTCCCAGTGCCGCCTCCCCAAGGACCTCACGGAGCAAAGCTACACTCCTTTTCCTCCGTGAAGGGGGTTCACCTCAAGCAAACCCTCCGTGGGCACATTTAATATCTTCAGGATGAAGGGAAGGCCGGAACACCGGGGATTGGACTTGCTCTGGGCTTCCCTGCACAAAAGCCTTGCTCACACCTGCCCCCACCCGGATCTCTGACTTTGAGGAGGAAAGCAGTCTCCACCATACACGAGCCTCACCCCAGATAATGTCTGCTGAGGGCTGGGCTTTCGACTGAACGGACCTCAGCCCTGAGTCGGCCTGCAAGGCCTCCCAAGGCTTCTCACTGCAGAGACAGACTGTGCCTCCCCACGCACCGTCTTGCTTCCCCCTCAGCCTCCTAGGACTTCCCTCCCAGCTCCACCCCTGCTCTGTCCCACCCAGCCCAGTCCTAGTCCCACCCCACCACTAGCTCAGTGCCCTCCCCCGCCCCTTGGTTTCCCTGGATGAACAGGGGGTGAGAATCCTGTTCTGCCTTACCTAGAGGATGTCTGAGAGGGGGAAGATCTCCAAAACCCAGGTGTCAGGAGGGGCTCAACCCCACCCTGCTGTTTCTCTCCACTCCTGCCTGTAATTAAGGTGGTGTTTCTCTCTGGGACAGGCTGGATTCTGGAGTCAGGAGGCCCTGAAATAACATGTTTTCTGGAAAAATACCTTCCTTAAAGGAAACCACTTTTTCCAAGGTGTAGAAAAGGGTCATTGTGTCTTGCCAGGTCCCCACTCCCCTCAGGAAATGACACTTGAAAAGACAGTTATAGTCACACACACACACACACACACACACACACACATTCATCCAGTACATTTGTAATAGTGAAGACTTGGAAGCAGCCGAAACACCAGTCACAGTCAGGAAGGTCTGGTCCAGCAAATCCTCGCACAGCCATAACATTGAACACGGGCTTAAAGCAACGAGGTACATTTAAACTCATTAATACGAAAGGGCATTCAGCACATATCAGTAAGTAAAAGTAGAGTGAACTAGAGAACTACAAATGCCATGCAGTAAGACTGCACTTCTGTTAAGATGCACTTAGATGCGTGGAAGAGGCTCAGGAGACAGCTGCTTGTCCAGGTCTTAACGAGCAATTGTCTCTGAGCTTGCGTTTCCGATGTTTTCCCTTTTGTTTACCTGTATTTTCTGTAGTGAATGGTTTGCTTTTGAATAAAAAAAGCAAGAAACGACCAAAGGAAATGAAACAAAATGATTATTTTTTCCTTATAAAATAAACCAACTCCTATCTGAGATAGCAATCCAAAAACACAGTCAAACACAGACCCAGAAATAGCGACAGATAAACTCTCGGGACAGAGGAGCGCGGACAGGGAGAGACACGTGTGTGCGCGCACACCCCCCTCTTCGGCCTCACTGTCCACGTTGGGGTGGGCCGTGGAATGGGGCGATGGCTGCCAAGTTTCCAGAACATGCTGGCATCTAGGAGCGGGGGTGACTCCCCGGCCTGAGCGATGTGTTTGGCTGGGTGGGCAGAGCAGAGGGGGTGCTCTGGGACTCTGCCCTCCTGGCCTGAGGTCAGCCCAGCTGTGCCACGGTCACCGGGTGCCCCCTAAGGCAGCACGTGGATCCTGCGCCCAGGTCCAGAGTTCGGGCCAGGCTGTAGAACCTGCCAAGTCAACTACCCCCCTCTCTCAGCTGTAGAGGAGACAGCAGGGCTCACAGTTGGAAGAGGCCGGAAGGGGCTTCCTTGCCACCACTTAAGACTTCTAGGCCAAGGCCTTCCCAGCCTTCCCAGCCTCCCATGGGCCCCACTTAGGAAGCCAGGGCTGTGCTGCTCCATACAGAGAGGCCCTCTGTCCTCGTCCTCAGGAACTTCTGAGATGCAGGCTTGGCGGCTGCCCCTCAGTCTGACCCTCCCTGTGCCCTCGCCCCACCCCCATGGTCCCTGCACAGACCTCACCATTGCTATGTCCTCGGACTGGTCTCCCTGGCCTTACCGCACCACTGCCCGCTGGCCCTCAGATGGATCTTCCTCAGACAGATCTAAATTCCCTAGAAGGCTAGTGTGTGGGCTCTGTTCCCCTCTTCAGACTTGGCATCTGTGGTTGGCATAATAATGGTCTCCCAAAGGTGTCCGCACCCTAATCCCCAGAACCTGTGACTGTGGCGTATTATATGGTGAAGGGGAACTACAGCCGCTAACCAGTTGACCTGAAAAGAGGATTAGTCTGGACAATCCAGGTGGGCCCAGTGGAATCAAAAGGGTAATCAAAGGGGCCCTTAAATGTGGGAGAGGGAGGCTGGAGAGTCAGGGGAGAGGGGTGCGATGTGCAAAAGACTCGGAGATAGAAGGAGCCATCTCTAGAACATGCACAGAGGCTGCAAAGGAAGAAGCAAGGAAACAGACTGTGCCCCAGAGCCCCAGAGCAGCCCCGCAGATGCTTTGACTCAAGCCCATCGAGTCCCATCGAGTCCCATCTAAGAGAATGCATTTACCAACCTAACAAACTTGTTAGAATACATGTGTGGTCATTTGCTACACAGCAAAGTATCTTTGACTAAACCTTAAGCATTCACCAAGAGGTAGGCTTGAATCTGCTCTGCTTGGTAATCCTACACTTGGGGGCATCCAAGGGGTGGCAGGTATCGGGACTGAAGAAGGCTGCTGGGCGCAGGGATGGGGGGGCTGGCCTACCTGACAGATGACAGTTATCGTGAGTCCCAGAGGCTGGCGCCAGAGGACCAGAGTCACAGTGCGGAGACTGTCAGGCCCTGTGCTGGGCGCTGTGTGGTGTGTGTCTCCAGTGACCCCAGCCTGACCACACAAGTGTGGCAACATACATGTCCAAGCGTGTTCTTGATTCTTACTAGCACAACATAAAGATTCAAGTATCCACCCAT